TTTTTTTTTTTTTTTTTTTTTTTTGGTTATAGTTTGATTATAGTCGGGTGTTCAAGTTGATCGATCAAGTTTTCGTGAAAATCGATTGATCGTCGATGATTATTTATCTCGAATAGACCGATTTCTCGAACGATTTTATTCTGTTGGAAAATGGAAAGAGATCCTCGTGAGATCTCTACGCGGCGACTGATAATTCAGCGATTTATAATCGTGCAGGAGGACTCCGAAACTTGTGGATATCGTGGCACGAGAACGGTGGTTTCGATCGGTGGTTAAAATAGAACTTTCTATTCTCTCACGAGGTTGGAAGTTGGACAGAAGAATGGAAACACGTACATATATATATGTGAGGGATGATCGGAGACAGCAATGCGGTTATTTATATGTTATTCGCATCGATTATTTAATGAGTGCAAAGTCGAACGTACACCCCCGTGGTTATCGCATGCCAAATCTATTTCCGTTCCCCGACTCGTCCTTCGTCCAAGTTTCAACAGCCGCAGGTGCCATCGATCGATCGATGCTAACCAGCCAGGATGGCGTCGAGCATCCGTCTAATCGACGAGTTATGATTTTCAACGAATATTGCGTTCCTCGATAAATTAGTTGCAACAGTTCGTCAAAATTTGTGGACATTTTCCGTAGCGAGATTTATCAAGCACAACGTGTACGATAAAGTATTTCATTGTATTCGTTCACGACAAGAAATTTTCTGCAAATTACGAATATTTTATTTATAAAAGGAAAATTTGAATTATCGGTGTGGTATTGTTATGAAAAATCGAGCGATGTCTTCGATTATTTGGAAAGAACAAAAAGTAAGTAATAAATAATCATATTAAATTGAAGATGAAAATGAATAGAATCGCGAAGAAATTATATTAATATTTCCAAGAAACTATCTTTCCTTAGAGGAAAAAGAAAAAGAAAAAAAAAGAACAAAGAAATTTCGTGGAATCGTACAACGACAAATTCCTCAAATTCTATATCCAGAAATTTAAAATAATTAAAGAATTATAACCGATCGATGAATCGCAAAGAAATGATTAATTACGATATTTCCAAGAAACTATCTTACCCTTTTATCAGAGAATGCACGTTACGTGTATATCGCTCAAAAAGACTGTACAATCGAACCACGTAGTTGATTCCAAGTAGAAATTTCGGAGTCGACACCTTCTTATATCTTCCTACACCGGTTCGCCTCGAAGTGGACGAAGTCGACGAAGTGGAGCGAGGAGAATGAAAATCTGGCTGTGACGCGAGCACCGACACTTTTTTCCAACCAACGTTTCGTCCGCGTAGCTATTACGGTACTGCTAACTCTCTCCAAGCTCATTTGTTTCATTCTGTTACCCGGGATACGACCTAGCGTTAGAACTTTGGCCGACCATAGAACGAAATTTTCAAGGGCCATTCGTGTACCTGTGTGTACGTTATTGCCGCATAAGAACCGTTATGCGGTAAAGGAATTTTCAGAATATCGCTTTAGCAACGTGTTTATCACGGTGTATCGTGATATTTATGTCATCTGTTTCCTCCTTTTTCCTCGCTGTTTTATATCGGTTCAAATATAATTGAAGTTCACGAAGATAAATACAATTGGGATTTAATTTTACCTCGAAAAGGTAAAAAAAATTTTATTTCGTGTAATCAAATCTCTGGGCTTCATTTCATTTTTGGATACGTATATTGATTGTAATATTACGTTCAATTGAATTAGTATCCGTTTTTGTAGAATTTTTAAAATCTTTCTTTTATAATGCGAAATTATTCAATTCTTGTTCTATTCGAACGAATCAAGCAAAATCCAAATAAATCCGCGTATTTTCGATCCCTGGATGGGAGCAAATGCAAGTTCGAAATGAAACGTAAACGAAAATGAGAAACTGTAAAGACGAAGGATCAGCAGTGGCAAACAATAAGATTGAAATTCCCGTTTAAACATTTCGCCTCGAGGTGAGAACATTTATCGGACGATGCCACGCGAAATAATCGGATACAGGCCCGATATAGACTCGATCAAATATGCAAATCCCATTTTTCTTCGCTTTCGATTCGATCGTTCGTTCACGTTCGGAACGTTTTATGTATATGTTTTCTCTGCTGCCAGCGAAAGATATCGATTGGACGGAATTTGCTTACGTCCAATTTCGTGGAAAGACACGGAATGTCCTGGCCTATCCATCACTCCCCCGTGCATGAATCTATGTACGCCGAATTAATCGATCTGACCATTCGTTCCAACACGTAGGAGAAATTGGCATTGGACCAAAGAAATTTTCCACGAGATCGAATGGAATGGAATCGTTTCTTCGAATTCTTTGCTAATGTATTTCAGAATAAAAATAGCTCTCGAGAATATTATATTTCTCTCTCTTCTTTTTTTTTTTTTTAAATTGCGATGAAAATGAAAGTTATTCTAAAGAGAGTAATTTGCAGAATATTTATTATATTATAATTAAAAGAGCATAGATAACTAAAGAATGAAAATTTTCTTATAGCAAATTGCGAATATTTATGCATTTCTTGTTTCGACAAATATTTCTCAAAATTATCCCCAATATTTCAATTCAATAGTGAAAATAGAATAGCTCTCATTAATATTTATATCCCATATCCAGAAATTTTCACATTCCATTAAACCCCAATTTTCTCTCACAAAAGCGTCCAACAA